TCTTCATCAAATTCAAATGATTTTGGAAATTTTATTGATATTTTTAATCTTTTAAACACATAAAATAGCGATTTACCTAAACGAGGCCAAGTCCCAATAAAAAGAATGTACTTTACCTTCTTGGATTAGTTTGTCCTTTTTCCCAAATGAAATTTCATTAACCAACTAATTAAATGTTAACTTGATTAAGTCAAATTGCAGTGAGAATGTTATTTTCGCAAGAATTCCCATGTCTAGATAAAATACTCTTCGTTTAAATCCTATCATTTCCAAAGGGAAACGTTTTTCCATTCCTTGTCAACCTGCAAAGCCGAGACAACTTAAGCACTCAAATCTCTTTCTTGTCCAAGAAGGTCGTACAACAACTTTACAGGAGACAACTTTTGCTCACATTATGCTGTATTTTCTTTGTTATGAAGAAAAACCTACACCAGAGGGATGAAAATGGAAAGAGGGCTAAAGATCAACGACTATCTGAATGCACCATTATCCGACCTTACTCTGACTTTGAACTAGATGGGATCTGGCATGATCAATCCGAAAACAATGTCAATTATCATTTGTAATCCTATTTTGTTTTTTCCTAGTCCCCTACCATTGCCCAACCCCGGCCACAGTTGTCTCCACCACATCATGTCGCTGCCGTTGAACATGGCGACCTCCTCGATCCCACCATTCTGGCCGAGCTTGTCTCCACTCAAGTCCATGTCCTCGCTTGCCTCTTTATTCCCCGTCCACTCTGACTTCCTGTACCTTATCCCTCTATCACCTCAATGTGTGAGCGTTGAGCTCAACATCGCCCTCGATAGAGCTCAACACCGCATGTCGAGCTTTGCGCCATTAACGACATGTCAGTGCAAGAGCCGAAGCATATTGGATAAAGGAGAGAGAATTGATTGGAGGGTACATTGATCGCATAATAAAGAAAAGGTATTTTTATCTATTTTGAGGGTGGAAATAGCCCCACCATTTTTCGACTTTGACCGAGATTACCGCCTCCCTCTCAAACTATTCCAGGTCGAGTTATGTTGGCTTTGACACTTTACAAATTGCATTGGCTCATGGGTGTCCATAAGATTTTCCCTTACAAAGAAAAGTTAGATCATTCGCATCTCGGAATCATTTAACCTTTGATGATAACAAACCCAATATGGTCCTTCATCGAATTCATGCAAATAGAAGGCCATCGCTAAAAAGCGAAGCGTACACATTTTCATGTCTAAATTAGGCTTTTCAAACTTCCTCTTTTTTCTTTTTCTTCATGGTATGCCGTATATATATCATCTTTTATTTTGTTTATTAATCAATTAAAGAGATAATAAATGATGATAGACTTTAAGAAATTGTTTCCACGTAAGATATGCAATGTTGGAATATCTTTATTTTATTAAAAAGTCACCGTCCTCACTTAAGATAAGAAGGTTAAAAAAAAACAAAATAAATTATTTTTAAATGTCCCCCAAATTGGGGGCACAAGTTAGTGGAAAGAAATCCTGCTTTTGACGGCTCAAAATGCAGCTCAAAGTCAAACGCAGCCCAAAGTCAACTCCAAAGTCCGAACAGAGAACGCCAGGTCTTTTCACTACTTCCCATTTCTTGGTTTTTGCTACCTTTCAGGGAGACACCAATTGCATTATTTAAAGTTGACTCCGGAAACGTTTTTTCCATTTAGGGTAACTTTGTTTCACGAAAACTCAAAATTTGAAAAATATTTTCTAAAAAACGATTGATTGTATTATTTAAAAAAATTAGTTAACGGAAAATATTTTCAATGGCGATAACAATTTATGCTAATTATTTTCGTGGATGATGAAAATATTTTTCACTCACTTGTTTTAGTAAGCGATACAACCGATCATTTTTAAAAAAATATTTTTCAAATTTTAAGTTTTTATGAAATAAATGCACCCTTAAGAAAAGTTTAATAAAGAGTGCAATTGAAAAACGTAAGAGAAGATAAGAAAAATGTAATCGCACTCCCTCCCTAATGATCATTTCTTGAATACTGTCAAGTGCCAACCTGGAAAGCACAAAGAGAGGACGAAGTGAAGCACTTCGTAATGCTTGAAAGCACTTACTGTCTGATGGGTTATATTTATCCTGATCCTAATTGGAGAAAAAGTCCTCCGATCATGTCATTGATTGGTACTTTACAGGTTTAGACATCGACTATATGTAAAGTCAACTAAATATAAAAGCATAGATACCCTTGAATTATTAGAAAATATTTAATCTGGTCCCCCAACTCTTTTTGGCCAAGTGAATCCCTAACTATGCATTTGTTTTTTTAAACTAGGTCCTTCCATTACAGAAATGAAAATCCATTTTGGCACCCTACGTGGCTATTAAAACCAAAAGTAACCCCCCCCTACTAAATTCAAAGACAGGAAATTTTTTGTGTTCATGGAAAACGAAAGGAAGGGGAAAAGCCCAGGTGTTAGGGGGAGAGTCGAATAATCACCTAGAGATTAATTGATCCACGAAAATTAAGAGCGCGCATAATAACCATTCTGTTTATTTATTTTTCTGTTTCGAGAACAGGTTTGGAATAGATATCCATTTAGTAACGTAATTTCATTTTTCTATTTCTCAAACAAATTTTGATTTTAAAAATAGATTTGGAAAAGAAATGAGAAATAAAAATTTTCTACTTTTCTATTTTTAGAACAAAAATAAAAAATAAAAACTCTTCTCATCACTTACCCTCTTTACTAGCCAACCGCCCATCTGCCGCCTCCCACTGCCGCCCTCCACCGTTGCCTACTATCCGCCGTCGCGTCCAATTGCCGTCTATCGTCCTCCGCTGCCCGACGTCAGCTATCTCCTGCCACCGCCCGCCCGTCGGCTACTCCGGAGGGGGAAATTTTATGTCGTTATCAAACGAATTTTTGTTTTGTGAATAGAAATTTTGTGTCATTATCAAATCCGTATTTTTGCTCAGAAACTTGTCTAGGAAATAGAAATAGAAAAATCTATTTCTTGCAAGAAATTGATTTCCAGAACATAATAGTTATCATTCTGCACTAAATATCTAAGTCTAGAGGTCTGGTTACAGGTGGGGAAGGATTAACACCTTCTTGTCGCCCTTTCAATACCATATTCTTTCGTTAAATTCTATCTTGCCATATCACAGGATTTCCTAATTCTAATAAACATATAGTTTTCGAAAGGATTTTGAAAATTGAAAACTTGGTCGCCCACCCCCTTTTAGGTGAAGTCGCCACATCATGAAGCAGACGACAATTCAACGACATCGTGCCATGTATGAACAATGGCTTTTCGAAAACATGCAATGAGTAAAGAAAAATGAACAAACGGATGAATCCAATCTTTCATAAATAAACAAGTAAATAAGCTCAAATAGGCACGAATCCAAAGCCATAAATAATCAAATACACCTTAGGTATGTGTCATGATCCCGAGGATTCCATGCACCAAGGACCGTGACATGATCAAGAAAGAGCAGGTCAAATCTTTGAGAGCTTCCAGAACATTCCCATGAGAAAGAGCAGGTCAAATCTTCAAGAGCTTCCAGAACATTCCCAGGAATAGGCGATACGATAATTCTGCCGTGTTCTAGAAAATTCTTGGCATAAATGCTGGTAGTTGATGGATGGAGAGATGCGATCTCCTCCGCTAGATCAAATGCCGATCAACAGATGTAATTAGTCGAGTCTTTGTATAAGTAAGGGTGTTCTCCCACTCATTTGAATCATCCAAACAATTGAAGCAATTTCCATTCTCTCCCAAAGCTTCTTTGCGTTCCAACGATCCACGGAAACCTAAGTCGCTACACGGGTCCAATTCCAAACAATTGATCCGTGACAAGAGATATCAGACCAAGTAGAGAGAATCCAACCAAGGAGATCGAGGAGCATATTAATTGGTCGTGAGAATGTCAAACCAAGAACTTGCCTTAGTTATCGTGGATGAGAGGGCTTCCCAAGAGCAGGTCGCCCAAGAAAAGACCCATGGGAGATCCAAGAAGAGGGAAACCTCGTCGGACGTCATGGCCGCGCTTGATGAGAAGCTCAGAAAGATGAGAACCGCTACATTGGAGTTCAACGTAGAACTCGATGAAGTAAAAGGCCATATCAATGAGGTCAAAGGAACTCTCCACCACGAATTTACGAATGTCGTGAATCAAACTATGGCCCCTTTGCACAAGAAGGATGAAGCCCTCGAAGCGTCGATCAATGCTTTGAAGCTAGAAGTCTTAGAGCTCAAAGAAGACAACTCCCACGAGACCGAGGTCGAAGCCTTGAAGTTGGAGGTCCAAGAGCTCAAGACAAAGCTCGTCCTGTGCAAGGCAAGTGTCACAAATAGTGCTATGCCCGTTCAAGTGGCGCATAAGCTGGATGTGCCAAAACCCAAAGAGCTCAAGGGCAACCGATCCGCTAAAGAGGTGAACAACTTCCTATGGAGCATGGAGAAATACTTCGGTGCCGTGGGTATCCAAGACAAGTTGGCCAAGGTACGAACGCTTCAATATTCCTAGTTGATAATGCAATGCTTGTAGAAGAATAGTTTTCTCTATATTGAATCATACTGTACAACATTACAATCTTTCTTATATACAATACAAGGGATAACACTAGCATCTCAATAAATCAGGAAAAAAAAATCCCTATTTTGTAGGAAATACAGCTCACGCCAACACTCCCCCTCAAGTGGGTGAGAAGATGTCTTCGATACCCATCTTGATGAGTGAGCTCTGAAACGCTCTACTTGACACATCTTTGGTCAAAACGTCAGCCAATTGATCTTCAGATTTGACAAAAGGCAACTGAATTACTTTAGCATCCAAATTCTCCTTGACAAAGTGTCTATCAACTTCAACATATTTGGTTCGATCATGCTGAACCGGGTTGTGAGAGATAGCTATAGTGGCTTTATTATCACAAAACAACTTCATCCCAGACTATGGTGGATACCCAAGTTCGGACAACAGCTTTTTAAGCCATAATAACTCACACAACCCCTTCGCTACTCCTCTCGGATTACGCCTCGGCCTTGGACAAGGCTACAACTTTTTGCTTCTTGCTCCTCCACGTGACCAAGTTACCTCCTACAAATGTGAGATAACCTGACGTTGACCTTCTATCTGATGCGTTCCCTGCCCAGTCCGCATCCGTATATCCTTCCACTACAAGGTGATCATTATTTGCAAACATTATCCCTCTCCCTGGAGCCGATTTTAAATATCGAAGGATACGATATACTACATTCATATGTTCTTCACTAGGAGCATGCATAAATTGACTCACAACACTTACTGCATAAGCAATGTCTGGGCGAGTGTGAGACAAATAAATTAATCTTCCTACTAACCTTTGATACCTCTCCTTATTAGTCGGCACTTGATCAGGATACTTCCCAAGTTTATGATTCTGCACTATAGGAGTATCGGCTGGCTTACAGTCCAACATTCCCACTTCAGCCAACAAATCAAGTACGTATTTTCTCTGTGACAAGAAAATTCCTTCCTTAGACCTAGCTACCTCAATACCTAAGAAATATTTCAGTCCTCCCAAGTTCTTCATCTCAAACTCTTCTGCCAACTTCTCTTGAAGCCTCGAAATTTCTTCAGTATCATCTCCTGTGATGATCATATCATCAACATATACGATCAGGGCAGTCACCTTACCTTGGCTTTGCTTCAAAAATAAAGTGTGATCTGAATTGCTCTGAGAATAACCGTACTTTCTCATGGCTGAACTGAACCGACCAAACCAAGCACGGGGTGACTACTTCAAACCATATAACGACCTCTTCAATCTACAAACAACATTCGGCTTACCAACACATCCATATCCAGGTGGAACCTCCATGTAAATCTCTTCCTCCAAATCTCCATGAAAAAATGCATTCTTCAGATCAAACTAATGCAATGGCCAATCCAGATTTGCGACAAGTGACAACAAAACCCGCACAGTATTCAATTTTGTAACTGGAGAGAAAGTCTCCTGATAGTCCACACCATAAGTCTGTGTGTATCCTTTTGCGACCAATCGAGCCTTGTACCTCTCAATGGTACCATCTGCCTTGTGTTTAATGGTGAACACCTACCTACACCCTACGGCTTTCTTCCCTTCTGGCAACGCTACAAGTCTCCAAATCTGATTTTTTTCTAATGCTTCCATCTCCTCATTCATAGCTTGGACCCATTTTGGATCCTTCAAGGCCTCTCCCACCCCATTCAGAATTCGAACAACTGATACATTTGACATAAAAGCCTTACAAAATTCCGACAGCCTTCTTGTTGACACAAAATCGGCAATGGGATATTTAGACCTTCATTCCTCGACAGCCGGTGAGTATCGACTAGGAGGCTTGCCCCGGTTATGCCTGTCAGGGAGTTTATATCTAACAACCAAATCAGAATCATCAGAAACCTCAAGATCAGGAAGAGAGCTTACCTTAGGATCATTCTCAGGAGAGTGGTTGTGTACTGAAGAAAGGACAATTTGTGAAAGAGCAAGCTGATCTTGCTCATTAGGTGTAGATATAGGTTGCCGGTCATCCCCACTTTCAGCTGAAAAACGATCACCATCCCCCCTCATCATCTGCCATCGCACCCTCTCCCTCATTGCCTGCCATCGAATCATAGCCTAGATCATCATCAAACTGCACCATTGAAACTTTTCGTGAGCCGGTTAATGGTCCAACCCCACCCAGTCACACCCCGGACTCCACATGTCCTCCTGACTCCGCACCCTCCATGCCAATGTCCCACCAATTTTTCTTTTCACTATAATTCTCCCCCTGAAAGGAACAATGGGGTAGAGAAAAATAGGACTTAGACTCCAGAAAAGTCACGTCCATGGTAACATGTGTCTTCTTGGTTGTCAGAGCATAGCAGCGATACCCCTTTTGGTGAGTCCTGTAACCAATAAATACACACGATACCGCACACGGGTCAAGTTTGGTGCGTTGGTTCTTGTGAAGATGCACAAAAGCTACACACCCAAACACTTTAGGGGGTATTGTCAAGACTGAAGGAAGAAGCACAAATTGCGATAGAACTTGTAATGGAGTTTCAAATTGCAACACACGAGAAGGCATACGATTCATCAAGTGAACGGCTGTGACCACCGCTGCATCCCAAAACCTTTTTGGAACATTGCCGCCGACCAGAAGAGCTCTCGCTGTCTCTAGAATGTGGCGGTTCTTTCGTTCGGCCACACCGATCTGTTGAGGGGTTTGAGTTCAAGAGGTCTCATGGATGAGACCATGTTCCTTAAAAGAAGAGGTAAGGTGTTTATTGATATATTCCCCACCATTGTCCGTGTGGAGAATCTGAATACGAGCTTTAAATTGGGAGGCAACCATTTTATGAAACATACGGAACATGTTAGGAGCCTCATATTTATGCTTCATCAGATACAACCATGTCATACGTGTGCAGTCATCAACAAAGGTTATAAACTATCTCATTCTAGACATTATAGTAATTGGAGATGCACCCCACACATCAGAATGAAACAAACAAAAAGGCTTGCTACTTTTATTGGAGCTCAAAGGAAAAGAAACACGATGACTCTTTGCTATACTGCATGTTTCACATTGAAAAGCAGAATCCGATAAACCACGAAACAACTCAGGAAACAAATACTTCAAATATCTAAATGATGGGTGCCCCAACCGACGATGCCACAACCAAACATCCTTCTCCTTACTAACAGACCGACCAGGAGTGTAATAAGCGTAGCCAAAACTGAGATCATCCACAATGTATAGCCCCTCCTTCTTAGTACCACGCCCAATAATCTTCTTCATGAGAATGTCCTGAAACAAGCAGAAGTATGGGTATATAAGAACACGGCAATTCAACTCATCAGTAATCTATCCAATAGACCATAAACGGTTGGACAAAGAGGGCACAAGTAATGTATTAGATAGAGAAAGAGATGGCATGAAAGTCACACTCCCAGCCCCGGTGACCAGATGGCAATGTCCATTAGCATTATACACATTGTCTCGCCGCAGTGAGGTACGATTGACTAGGTCATTGGGGTCAGGTGTCATGTGATCGGTAGCGCCTGAGTCAATAATCCAGCCATTGTTTCCACCATGACGAGTAGTGACAAAAACAGAACCACAATTACCTTCAGAAGGAAGGGTGGAAGAATTAGTTGAAGGTACCATCGGGACCAAGGAAAGAGACGAACTCCCAGTCACCAAGGATGCCTGCCCTGCACTCTTGCCCAATTCTGCTTCAGATTTCTTCTTCTTCGCTTGCAAATCGTCCCACCAATCCAGGTATCCATGCAGCTTAAAACAAGTGTCCCTAGTGTGTTTGGAATTGCTACAGTGAGAACAGCCGCCGGGCACCTGAGACTTGGCCTTGATAGCAGACCGAGAGCGCCCACCTCTACCCACCGAACTGCCTGCCATCAACTACAGAGACGGGTCTCCTCGACTGCCCCGTGAGACCATTGCTGTACCCGTAGGAAAGCCATCGGTATTGGTCAGCATCACGGTTTGGCGCACATCTTCCCTGCGGACGCGTGCATAGGCTTCCTCAACTGTAGGGAAAGGCTGCATCTGCAAGACATCTGCACGAACCTTGTCGAGACGATCATCAAGTCCATCCAGAATAAGGTAAACCCTATTCTCTTGAACAACATTATTGTAGCGCTCAATATCTGCAGGACACACCATAGGATTAGGACTGCGGAAATCAATTTCATGCCTGAGTCCTTGAAGATCATTGTAGTATTTTTCGATTGGTTCTCCAGCTTGCTTGAGTCGTGATACCCGGCGCTTTAAATCATACACCTGAGAAGTATCGGTGCCATCAAAGAAAGTGGTAGCTACGAAATCCCACACAACTTTAGTGGTAGGGAATCTGATAAAATTGTCAATCAACGCCGGATCCATGGAATTGATGAGCCATCCTTTCACAGTCGAGTCCTCGGTTTTCCACTTCAGAAAACCAGGATCTGTAGGCAAAGGCTAAGGGAGATTTCCATTGATATACCCCAGCTTGTTTTTGCCTGTGATGTACATTTCGACAACTTGAGACCATAAGCCATAGTTGGTTCCATCCAGTTTAATCGCAATCTGAGATGAAGCCGAATCATTCTGTGGTGTTGGTGCTGGAGGTGGAGGAGGAGGATTCTGATTCTGAGTCAGTCTGGTGGTTAGATTCTCTAAGAACGCTTCTGTGGTTGAATTCCCCCCTTGATTTTGGTGGAGAATCACTGCTCCTCTAGGGTTTTCATCAGCCATGGATCCAATGTCGAGTGTGATCGGGTGAGACGAAGTCGGCCGGCGCGAGACAACGGCACGGTGAAGAAGACGAGCAAAAAAAAATTTCTCAAGGGCGCTGCCCCCGAACCACCGTAATCGGGGATTAACGTACAGTACTCACAAGGAGCGAACTCTAGGCTCTGATACCATATAGAAGAATAGTTTTCTCTATATTGAATCATACTGTGTAGAATTACAATCTTTCTTATATACAATACAGGGGATAACCCTAGCATCTCAATAAATCAGGAAAAAACAAAAAAAAAATCCTCATTTTGTAGGAAATACAGCTCACGCCAACAATGCTTTGGTGGCACAACAGGTGCAATAAGACCAAGTGAGGCGTCGATCCCATCAACACTTGGAATGGCTTCATCGAGAAGTTTCGGGACTACTTCTTCCCCGAGTTCACTCAACAAGAGGCCCGGAGCAAGCTCTATTGCCTTGAGCAACGAGGCACGGTTCGAGAACTCAAGCTCCAAATTCCCAACCTAGGGGAGAAAGAGGCTCTCGGGGCATTTATGGAGGACTAAAGCCGTGGGAACAACTCGAACTCAAGTGAAGGGACATCCGAAGTATCTTGAGGGCGCTAACCATGGCCGAGTCTCTTGCTGACTTCACCAAAGAATCCTCCTAGTCCAAAGGGAGTGTGTGGAAATCGGATCGCCACCACGAGGATGAAGAAGACCAAACTGTCCGTGGCCGAAAAGACCCGTATGGAGACCACAACCGTGGCCGGAGAGACCATGGTAGAGAGAGAAGTCATGGGGAGAAGGGTCCTCCAAACAACCCAACCTGAGGTGGAACTGATCCCAAGAAGACTACAAAGATAGGTTCGAGAATCCACCGCCATCCCCGTGCTTCATTTGCAATTGTCCCCATGGACTCAAAGTGCCCGAAAAAGAGCAAAATCAACGCGTTTCTCGCTATAGAAGAGGATGAGGAGCTGAAGCAAGAAAAACGTGAAGTGAGACTTGGAACCGTGGAGGTTCTCAACTTGATCAACTCCGTTAAGCCTAAAGCACCAATCAAGAAGAAGCCCACAAGTTTGCACCTATCATTTACGGAAGTCAAGGTATGTGGCGAATCCCTCTATACCTTGGTTGACACGGGTGTTTCACACTTGTTCATGTCAAGTGAAGTGGCCAAGAGCTTGGGAATTCACGTGGAACCAACCGGTCATCGATACAAGGCCATCAACTCTAAAGACGTACTGGCAATAAGAATTGCCCGAGACGTGGCACTCCAAGTCAGTGGATGGAAGAGCAAGCTCTCATTCGAGCTATTTTTACTCGATGACTACAATCTCATCTTAGGTTTCGAATTCTTCGATACTACAAGGGCCATGATAGATTTGAGGACCAAGATGATTGTCATCACCGACCTAGAATGCCCGTCAATGGTGCATATGCTCCATGGATTGACCGACACAAAAATCCTCTCCACGATCCAACTCGTGGACAATAGGCCAAGAGTTGAGACTTTCGAGATCAAGTCATGAACAAAGCCGAAGGTAGAGGTGGATCGTTCCCCTCAACACGAAATGCCAATCCATGTGCTCTTCCCGGAAGTGGCAAACTTACCGACCAACATAGAAGTGGCCAAACTGAACAAGGAGTCAAATAGCCAATAAGTCGAGAAGCCAAAGACAAAGCGAAGTCGGAATCAAAAGAACCGACAACGCTCCAAGAAACCAACAAACAACCTTGAGTCGAGAGCATCAAGGACGTTGCTCGAATGGGTGGGGGAGAATGTCACAGTCCCAAGGTTTCCATGCACCAAGGACCGTGACACGATCAAGAAAGAACGAGCCAAATCTTCAAGAGCTTCCGAAACATTCCCAGGGACAGACGATACGGTAATTGTGTCGAGTTCTAGAAAATTCTCGGTATAAATGCGGGTAGTTGGTGAATGGGAAGATGCGATCTCCTCCGCTAGATCAAATGTCAACCAACGGATGTAATGAGTCGAGTCTTTGTATTAGTAGAGGTGTTCTCCCCCTCATTTGAATCATCCAAATAATTGAAGCAATTTATATTCTCTCCCAGAGCTTCTCTCTCTAGAATTTCTCTCTCTATGATCTGGAGAAGCGAGTGAGCAATCAAGAAAAGGTTTGGCTTAGGCGCTCTAACAATCCAAGAAAGCCTAACTCACCGCACAGATCTAATCCCAAACAACCAACCCATGACATATGCATGACAGAATTACAAAACATTGTGGATGAGTCTTGTTGTAAATAATGCGAAAGTTAATGGATCTTGTAATTAAACCAACGTAAGAGAATGAAGTCACCAAAGAAATAAATGAGAACAATAAATAACACCACAAATTTACGTGATTCGATTCGAGTATTAATATCTACTTCACAGGGAGAGCTAGCCAGAAATAATCTATTAATCACTCGGGGGATTACAGAGTTACAAATGCTCACATACTCAAGTGTTTTCTAGCCATAAATTATACCCGAATATACAGTTTTTAGATTCATATAATTGCTCTATTACACGAAGAATTATCTCACATATTGAAATACTCACGTCCTTGAAGAAAATGCCACAGTTTGATGTAAAGTTCTCTAGAAAAAGATATTATAGGTGCCATAATTTTCATACGGTGTTCACTTTAGTGCTAAAACTTACTAGATTACTTCAGCACCACATTAGAGAAAAACGATCACTTAAGGCCGCGAGTGATAACTATTTTGTTTCCCTATTTTTCTATTTTTTTATTCCCGAAAACAAGTTTAGAACAAAAATCCGTTTTGTGAAATAATTTCATTTCTTTTATTTCTGGGACAAATTTTGGTCCAGAAATATATTTGGAACAGAAATAACAACTCTCCTTTCTATTTATTGCTCACCCTTGCCGCCCATCGCCGCACACTCGCCGCCAGCTACCGCTCGCCGGCCGCCTGTAGTCGCCGCCCCTCACCAGTTGTCCGCTGCCACCCGTCGACAGCCGTCCGTCGCCGCTGCCGCCGCCGCCGCTACCACTCCCTGGCTAGTGGGAACAGAAATTTTGTGTCGTTATCAAACGAATTTCTATTCCGAGAACAGATATTTTAGTCGTTATCAAATGCTACTTTTTGCTCAGAAATTTGTCTGGGGAAGAGAAATGTTGTCATTCGCGCCCTAAGTGCCTCTAGAGATGAATCCGACAAATATTACGTGGCTTTTTCAATTAAATATTAATACCTATGTGGATTTTCTTATATATAAAAAGAAAGTCCAAGTGGACGATGAGGTGGTCTTTAATCACAAAATGACGCCACATTAAAGTAATTTGCTCTCTTTCTCTCTCGCTCGCTCACTCTCTTTCTCTCTCATGCAAGCCTTATGCTTCAATGGTAGTTATCCCTCGTGAAAAGATATATACATGTGTGTATATATATATATATTCACACACTCGATCCTCTACACATCGCGTAAGGTGAGGAAGTTCCACATCGTCATCGATTTTCTCGACTATTGGATGCCTAATCTCAGTCCATGGCTTCGTTTTGCTGTCATGAGGACCACTCTATTAATGTGGATACGAGGTCGTGCAAGATTGACGACCATTTCGCAGTACCACTGCTCCTCTATGGATGCGATTCATTGGTGAACTTGCATTCAAGGCTCTATAGCTTCTCATTTAATAGGAGTGTCGCTTGGAGTAAACTCATGTCTTTGTCCATCGGTGACTCGAAGGTGACCAGGTGATACATGCAATCTTGATGGGTAACCGTATTCTTGAGAACCTTAGGTTGGAAAGACACCATGGTTTGAAGCAAAACATCAAGCGCTTGACTGACACTGGCGATGAAGGATCGAGCGAGCGCGAGGCACTTCGAACACTGGAATTAAAAAAACAAGGATAACAGAGGCACAACCGGCGAGACTTGGAAGTGATGGACGGTTTCGATCAATGATGGCTACAACGTCCGGAGAGTGATGGAGAAGGATCCTCGACAATCGAACTTCTAAAAATCCTTTAGAGAGGATTCCTTGAGGTCCCTGTGTATGCTCTGTTGTGCGTTATTTTGGCTGTAATGAGCTCGAGGTGACAGGCGATGGAGATTGGACGGTAGTTGACATGGAGATGGTGGACGATTGATTGAAGGTGATCAAGAAGGAAAATGGTCTTTGAACCTTCCTTCCTTGCTCGAGAACTCTGAGGGAAGATTTGGTTAGTAGCTGCTTTTAGTACGCACTTGATGAGGGTTTCTCCTGGAGATTTTGAGTCCGCTTTTGTCGTCATTGCGTATGAAAATTAGGGTTTATAATTGGAACAAACATGTTGAACAACATCGTTTAGGGCATTTATGCTTACTCAAAGTGCTGTCGAGCCATGTCAGTCGAAAAAAAAATGATAATATATTGTCACGTCGGATTTTTGGTATTATAAATCGACGATGGCACTTAGATGATCTTTTCTTATCAAAGTGGTAGGTAAATGATTAAGCAAAAAAATTTTACACTAAAATAAATATCTTACGTAAGTTATGACATTTTTAATATCCATTTTCCCTATATATATATCAAGCAAGAGCAAACAACTTTCACGGTCAAACTCCAGTGTGCAGAAGATTCCTTCAGAGTAGTTCTTTATTTTGTTAAACCTTGGATAAGACCAAATGTATAAAAGCCAAGCAAGAATCTTTATCTTAGACTCTGTCTGTATCGTGCAAATAAGACGTTTCTAAAAATATTTTTTAGGAAAATAATAATATTTTCTAGTATTTGACTGAAGCCTGAAAATGAACTAGAAAATATTTTTCACTGTTTGATCGGGAAAATCTAAAATTTACCAAAAAAAAAGACATTTCTTTTTTTTCTTTTTTTCTTTCTTTCTTTTTTTCTTTCCTTTTTGCCGGCCATTGGCCAAGGGAGAAGGAAAAAGAAAAGGAAATAAAATGAAAAAGGAAGGAAAAAAAAAACAAAAAAAGAATTAATTAAATATTTTTATAAAAACAAACATTTCATTAATCAAGGACCCGAGTCTAAGTGCCGAGGACCGGCCTAAGGCCTTTATGGACCAGAGGTCAAGCGTCGGGGACCCGAGCACAGCCTTTATGGGCGCGGGATCGGGTGCCGGGGAATCAGGCACGGAAACTTATATTGTGAGTCACAAATTCATGAATGAGTAAACCCCACAATAATTTATAATTATTTTTTTATCCAAATAATTATTCTCACAGTGAATTGAAGACAACCACCCAATCATTTATCTTTACATTTACATCCACAAAATACCCAAATATCAAATCCCAAAAAGAATAATAATAATAATAATAATAATAATAATAATAATAAAGGAAAAAACAAGAGTCAGAAAAACATCAAGAACCCGACACCTACTCCATCAAATCCTCGGACCTTATGAACGCGCCGTGGAACCCGTACGGCACTCGCGACGGCAGCCCCACCGTCGCCACCTGCTCCATGTCCGACGCCCTCACGATCACCAGCTCCGACCTCCCCCTCTCCTCGTCCTTCACGAAGCTCATCAAGTACCCGCCTCCACCGTCGCCTTCCTCGCCGCCACCCTCCTCCTCGGCCACGTAGCACGGCTCGCCTCCGAACCTCCCCCGTCCGTACAGAAACCTGCTCACTTCGCCGGTCAGCAGGTCGACCTTGGCCATCCCACGGCACCTGGGCCACGGCTCGGCTATGGCCAAGTACACGTACCTCGTCCTCCTCCCCAGGAGATGCCGGGCCACCTGACCGGCCTCCAGGTTGGTCCCCTCGACCACGACCCGCCTTTCGTATTGCCCCGTCCTCGTGTTGATCCGGATCTCCGACAGCTCGCTCCGCAGACGCCGCTCGCCTTCGCCGCTGTGCTCGTTGAAGATGGAGTCGGGCGGGTCCATACACGACCCGAGAATGGTCACGACCTTGTCTCCGTCGCCATCCCTCGCCTCCCACGCGTTCCACAGGTGGAAGCAGAAGCAGTCCGGCACGTCGTACCACCGGATGCCCGACTCGTCCGCGGCATCCTTCGGCATGATCCCGAACCGCGACGTCTTCCTCCTGTCGTAGAGGACCGGCGACCCGCCACGGAGCATCTCGGACAGCCTGAACACCACCTGGTGGTCCGGGATCACGACGTCGTTCTCGGTGATCGCAAAGTCGTGGATCATGGTGGGCTGCTGGAGGGTTATGTCCACGTCCGAGTCCGATGTTTTCTTTCCTGTCTTATCGAACTTGAAGTACTTCAAGTAGGGACGCTTTACGACGTCATAGCTGAGCGCGTGGAGCTCCCCCGTGGCGGGGTCCACCTTGGGGTGGGCTATCATGGGGCAGCGGAGCTGGCCGCCGAAGTCGAACCGCCCGACCGTCTCCAGGTCGCCGCTGCCGTCGATCCGCACGTGGTACGGGAGGTCGTCCTCCGACATGGCCAGCAGGCGGCCATTGAAGTAGACGAGCCCCGCGTTGGCGACACCCGAGCCAGCCGAGCCGTCGATGAGGCCAAGCCCGGTGCGGGCCGCGTAAAGCGCCATCCGTGCCAGGCCCGAGTGGCCGTGCAGCTCCCCGATCGGCTTCGGGAACACAGGCCGGCCCAGTGCAGCCTCCTGCTCGAGCCGGCTCGTTCGGGTATACCTGCAGCTGTAGCTGGCACTGTTGCCCGAGCCGAGCGTGACGGCATGGATCATGCCATCGCCGTCAAACAAATGGTGGCCGCCGCACGGCGGGAACAGGGGATTCGCGCCGTTACGCACGTAGGCGCCGCGCAGGCAAGAGGGTATCTGGCCCGCCACTTCCAAGTCGTGCCTCACCGGACACTCTTCGACCGGAGCGAAGTTCCCGGACAACTGGACCGCCGGGTCGGCCGTTCTCGGCAATTCGTGCTGCTTCTCAAAGGGTACCAACAGCGAGGCTTCTAGCGTGTCCAGCGCCGAGGCCACGATCCTCTGGATCGGGTTCAAGCTCTGCGGGTAGTTCGGCTTCGACGGGGCCAGCGGCGGCCGCGGCGGCTCCAGCACTGGCCGCGGCGGGGCCGACGGCGGGTAGACGATCTTTGGGAGGGTCTTCTGGGAAGGGCTGATGAGCATTTTGCAGGTGGGTGACCATATCTGAGCAGAACTGTGCGGGGTTGGTGGGGCGATCGAGTGCAGACAAGTGGAAGCTTGCATGGCTAGAAAGAATGGAGAAGTGGCTGTGTGAACGAGAGCGATTGCAACGAGTGTGTGCATGCTTCGAGGCTTATATAGAGGCCAAGGCCTGAAGATATGGACACGTGGGAAGATCACTTGAGGGGAAAAGATCGTCTTCGACAACTCATTTGCCCGGTGTTTTCGCACAATTAGGTCAAGAGGAGAAGACGAAGATATAATTCGAAATCAAGACACATGAACAATGAACGCGTGATCATGTTCTTGAAATTAAGTATTGGGAAAATTAAAAAAAGGGAGCCGAAGTGGAGTCATTTTCTCAAATAAGGGCCAGAAGTGGATCTTATCTCAGATAAGGACTTGAAATGCCTTCATTTTCTCAAATAAGGGCCTAAAGTGAATCTTATCTTAAATAAGGGTCTGAAGTGGTCATATCAATGTCAAATAAGGGCCTGACCTCACGACCAAAGGGTATTTTCGTCTTTTACTTTTTTGAATATTTTTTTTCTTTTTTTTTTCCTTTTTCTATTTTTTTTCTTTTCCTTTTCCTTTTCCTTTTCTTTTCCTTTTCTTTTTTTTTTCCTCTCTTCCCTCCGCCGACCATCGTCGGGGCCAGCGAAGGTCGCCAGCCTCAGGCGAAGGCCGCCCATGCCTGGGCGGGCGAGGGTTGCCCTCGCCCGCCTAACCTAGGCGAGGCAACCCTCGCCCGTCGCCGGCAAGGGTAACCTTGGCGACCCTCGCTAGATCTGGCAAGGGTCGCCCTCGCTCGTCCAGCCCAAGCAAGGCAACCCTCACTCGACGCCGGCAAGGGCGACCCTTGCTCGACGCAGGCTGGGCGGCCCTCAACCAACGCCGGCGAGGGCGGCCCTCACCTGAGGCCGGCGATAAGCGCAATGATGACTAGGGAGGGAAAAAGAAAAAAGGAAAAAGAAAAAGAAAAAGAAAGTAAAAAAAATCAAAAAAAATATACTTATATTTTTTTTTACTAAAATACCCCTTTTTCGGTAACGGAATAATCACCGGCTGGCCAAAGGTCCTTATTTGAGACGATTTGGTCACTTTAGGCCCTTATTTGAAACAACATCCATTTCAAACCTTTATTTGAGAAAAGGACTCCACTTCGGGCCCTTTTTTGGAATTTTCCCTTAAGTATTTGTTCGTACGATCGCGTCCTACCGGATGCATTAGATACTTTTCTCTCCGTATGTCGAGGTCTGAAATTTCTTATACGTGCCTGTGGACGGGACTGGCATTAGATGCTTTCTTCCCAAACTTCGTTATGGTTTATATGTTTCTCCGATGGGAGATCGAGAATTCGACTAGGGGGCGAGACACGAATTTTTCATTAATAATATGTATATGTGCAGAATTTTTCCTCCTTAAATTAAAGGGAACTTTTGTACTTGGAGAGGAGCTGGTGCCACCACCAGCTCCTTAGGTCCGGCGGTGTGTTTCTCAAATCACAATGCTTCTTATTGAGACGGTTATAAACATGAAGTCACTTGCATTTATTTTTTGTTAGATTACATAAGGGCATACATATTTCATAATCTATCAATCAAAAATAATTTGCTCGAACTAAGATGTTGGTACTTTGCAACGAGAAAAGCTTAAAGCACCATCTAATCTTGTCCAAAAAATCTTAAATCTACTGCACGGCGGTCAATTCAATCCTAAACATTTCAATTATACTAATTTAGTCTTATAATTATTGTGACCACATGGCAACAATTACGGTTATATTTGACAATTTCTTCGTGTAGTCCTTTCATGTCTTTCCTTAACAACCCGATTCAGAGATGAATTATGCTCTAATCATGATGGTTTGGATATCATCTTATAAGTTTTTTCTCAATTATGATAGTCGTCGGTTCCACCTTCCTCTATCTTGATTAGCTATAGTTCCTCGAAATTCAGGCATTTCTATAGTCCATCTTATATGATTGGGGGAATAAAATATCTTCAGATATGGTGAAGACTTCGCTAGGTAAATATGAATGCATGGAGAGACGCGCCCTCTTGGGGACTTTTTGTCACTTGACTAGGTTACTAATGTTGACGGCCATGAATTAATAACGAAGCCTCATGATGCAGAAGATTTTAATAAAATCGTGCGACATGACAGTGAAAACCAAAATTGCACCAGAAGACATTGACAAATGATAGACGACTGATAACTATAATTAACAAAACACACACATATATATATAATTATCTATCACGTGTCATTGAAAGTCTCAAGCAATAAAGGCATATGAATCACATGACAATAAGACTCTGATATCGAGTATTAAAGCCTTTTGAATTTAGGCCGTGAAGTAGAGTAGTGGTACGCACCTAAAATTGTATTGCCCTCATCTCCAACTTACCTATATAACACATACATCATTTACTTTCTCAATGAGGAAAAAATTTAAGTATAGAAATTCATTGCTCAATCTGTATATTTTCCTTAATTTTATCAAGTTGAGCAAGGATCGTCAAATTTGATCATCCAGACATCTCCGCGATTGACGACGCTGTATAAAAGATTCAATACGACTATTATAAGAGATTGTATTGGCTAGAGAGATCAAAGTTCGAGCGATTAACAAACCCAATTCGATCTGATATTATTCGGCACGAATACAAGTGAGCCAGGAGAAAGAAAAACGAAAAACAAAAAAAGAAGAAGAAAATGAAAAACCTCAACTCCCTCCTCCTCCTCCTACTAGGGGTGCCAATGGGTCGGGTGGAGTCACGCTACCTGCCTCAACTCAAATCACAAGAGTCGGGCGCTCCCTTTGAACCAAACCCCCATATGACCCGAAATCGAAAACACGGGTTGGTTCGGGCCGGGTCGAGCTCTTCTGACAGCCCTACCATATACAAAGATATAGGATTCTATGTATGTATTCATGCCCCCATTGAAAGGATGCACTTGCCCTTCTTCTTAGCAGATACGGTTGAATCTGGTTTTTCGGATCCGTCCACGGGGGAGCGCGCGCGCGCACGCACCAGAATCCAAAAATCTCCACGCCCCCCACGGACCCGGACCCCCCCGCATCACGTGACGACGCGCCGTACGACGAGGCGAGGGCCCTCCCCGGCGCCGTTGACCTGCACGTGGGGGCAGCCCATGATCTGATCTGCGCGATCTGACGGCCCTCCATTGGCGGCGGCGCCTGACCGGGCCCCCACGTCCCCGACCCCGACGCCGACCCCGACACCGTCCGATGGCGTCCCACGTGGCGCTGTCGTTGCCGACAGAAAGCCACACCCCCGCTGTCGTTTTGGGTTTCTTCTTCTTCTTCTTCTTCTTCTTCTTCATGTGAAGCGGAGAGAGGGGAGCCTGTGACATCAGGTGCCCAGCACGTGCGGAAGGAGACGAGGGGGCGTGCCACGTGGGCGGCGTCGTGGGAGGCTAAGGAACCGAACCAGCGCTGGTCGAAAACGACGTCGTGCCCGTGCTCAGATTGACGCTGTCTTTTTTTTCTTCTTTTTCTTTTTTCTACACGTGCTTTTTTCGGCAGGGATATTGTTTTTTTCGGTCGGTCGGTCGGTCGGTTTTTCGCGGGAAGATTAAGCGGGATCTGATGGAGGACGGATTCGGTACGGGGCGTACCGGTCTAAGACTTTCGAGTGACCCGAAATCAGTCCGGCATAAATGCAGCACGGTTGTTTCGAGATCGAATTTCTCGTAACATGAAAATTAATTGGGTGGAAACATGATGGAGGAGGCACAGGTTTGAGATTTTCTATGGTGTTAGCTAAGGGTGATCGGTTACTGATTCGATTCAATTCCGAGGTGAAACCAGGAATCATACCGAGAGGTTCGGTTCCCAATTTTGAGAAACGGGGACCGAACCGGTCCGGTCCAATAGAACCGGTCACTTTTATATTTTTTTTCCCACCACAACGAGAGAGAGTGACAGATTTCAGCATATTGACGGAAACGACGATGAATGACGAGTTATTGTGGTGCGACGATAAGGAAAAAGAATTGTACGTGGATTTAGTTCACATTTTACTAACTTTTTTGAAGAAATAAAAACTTAAAAAAAGTATATGTAGTCGATTCGGTCCGGTCCAATTTCTCCTTGGATACGGGAACCGGATCACCTGGACACCGATCTCACTTTTAGGAACCGGGAACCGGACCGACACTCCTGGGAACCAGACCAAACCGGCCGGTCCGGTCCGGTCCGATCCGGGCGGTCCGTCTTGCACACCCCTAATATTAGCTTGACGCGACTCTACAAGAATCGCGTGCAGTGGGAACTCTGTGTTTTGTCCTCATTTTTTAAAATTTCAAGAATAATGATACAAATGATCTCTGGACATAAAAAGTCCATGAATCACATTGGACAAATTAAAAATTTAAAGATCATATTAGATATTTTGCTACAATTCATGAATTATATTATATTTTGATTCAAAATTAAGTGGTTATTTGTGTTATTTTTTCTTAAAATAATTTTAAGGGCGAAAAGAACACAAAATTGATCGGAGTTTCAGGCTGTCGAGTTTCTATTGGTTTGAGAGCTCTTGGGAACACTCCAAAATGGGGGAAGATATTTCTAGAGAGTCATCGAGGAAACTTCCGGAGGGGAGATATTTCTTGGGAAGAGCTACTGATTTTTCAATCCCTTTGCCAATCCAGTGGATCTCTATCACTTGGCCTACGCATGTCCACGTTGATGTACACTATGTCACTAGCTAAGTCTTTTGATTTGTATCTTATCAATGAAGTTGGAAGTGAGCCCTTTCTTTGAAAAGAAATATTTAAAATAAATCTAGACAAAGATTGGCGTCGTTTTGTCCCACTGACGTGCCCCCGCACCGATCGAGAGGAATAGAACATGTGGGTGCCTTCTTGAAGACAAGGTGGTCGTGCGTGGCGCATCGAGTCTGACGTGGTGACGAGACCCAAAAATCAATAACCAATTAATTCCCTATGCATATGTGATGTTTTGTTTCAAAGTTTTAAAACATCGTGAGAACACTTATTCAACATTATTACCAATTTACGGGATCGTTTTCCCGGGTGTACTGCTGCGTGACTCCTTCGATGTGTCTAAATGAGTACACAAATGTCGATTCAGATGGGAAAATTCATTCATGTTTTGATAAAATGACATAATATGGCTACAACATGGCAAAT